TGCATTCCATTTCTTTCTTAACAATTTCTAATTTTCCTACATTCATGGTTCTCACATTCCATGTTCCAATCACTAGGGTCTGCTTACAACTGTTCCTCTTCCTTTGTATTTCCATACTTGAAAGTTCTACCTAGATTGCACTTTCTGTTAGTCTACGTGTGTTCTGTTGTACATAGGGTTTTCAGAGGCCTGCTATTGCAGAAGTGGATGGCCGATCCTTCTTCCTAGTCTGTCAGTTAACAAGAAAATGCTATCATGACTTCCACTTTTTGCAACTCTTGACTGGTAGAAAGAAAATACATTTTAAGGCTGCGTCCTGTCAGTGGTGTGACTACAGACTAGTTCTATATCTAGTTATATAACTATTTTCACTTTCCATTTTTATCCTTTGAAAAATAAGAATGAGTGATGGTAAGTCCCCAGAGAATTTCACAAGAAGATTCAATCTAATAATGGATCTAATCAACACTGTAGCTAATGGCTAAAATGTGACCAATAAATGTTCATTTGTCTTAACTGTGTCTGGACAACCACTAAAGTATTCAATGTACACATAACCAAAAAATGAGACAAACAAACAAGAAGCCCACCTAAATCATTTTCTCTATGACAAAAGCTTGGTGTGAAATCTTGCATGACCTAATGCACTCATCATAATATGAATTTTTGTGTTAACCTTATGTTTGTCTCCTTGTGCGTTTCCGTGTTCGCAGCCCTGCCTCTGTTCTTCTATACTTCTACTATTATATTTTAATTAAACCTGAATACCTGTTTTGACTTATCTTGTTATTGTATGTGTACACAGCTTAACACATCTTTTATGGAGGGGGGAAAAGCAGGATGAAGTTAATTATGTAAATAAAGTTAATTCTAATATAAAATAAACTACCTTTCTGTTTTACAATTTATTCAATAATTTTATCCTCCTATCAATTTTTTCTTGAGCTCCAAGACCTATTTTAGATGCTGAGTACAAAATAATGCTCTTGACTTGAGGGGCTTCTAGTTGAGAAAACTGATGTTTTATAGATAATACAGAGGAGTCTTCCCTTTTCTCCTTTGGTAGGTATTCTTGTGGAAAACATGTTTTCTTGGCTCCCATAATTCATATAAACAGAAGTTATGCTTTTCAACTACTGAAAAACAGTAATACATATAATATTTTTAAATCAATTTCAATATTTATTTGATCTCATTTATAGAAGAGAACTAAAGCCTAGAGAAATTAAGTCATTTACCTAAACTTACACTGTTATGAAAAATTAAGAGTCAGGGTCTTCTGACTTAAGCAGTATTCCTAGCATAATATATAATCTGCTGGTTAAAATTTAAGTAAACTCTCTCAAATAAAATTTCACTAATAAAGAATAATTGAAAATATGCATCCACACCTTTTAAAGACTTGGATTGTAACTGATATTAATTGCCACTGGAAATTTTCAGCTTCTGAAAGTTACAACTATATTTACTAATTCTGAAAATACCTTAAAGAGAAACTTCAGAAGTTTCAAGCAGACAAACATCTTTTCATTCATTCGTCACAACATATAATTTTCAAAATTTTACCTTTAGAGATTATTAAAATTATGCTAAAATGGTATGCTACAGAAAAGTAAAAGAAAATGGAATCATAACATGAAAACTGACAAAGTATGAAGCAGAAAGATGAGATTCTCAGAAATGTAGTGTCTGTGTAAAAGACAGATACTTATAGTTGAATTTTCAAATAATACTTTACCTGACAAAGCCCACTCTCCTGTGCCATGGGTGTGCCCACTGTAGTACAAAATGTATGTATCATGTCTAGGTCCGTCCACGGTCCGGAGTTCAAGGAAAGCTTTCAGCTTGGAATGCAGATTATCATAGGAGAGTCCACTTGTGGAATAATCACATCCATAGGTCTCAATCATATGATATGCAAAAAATCTTTGGATAGCATTGAGCATGCCAGTAGACCTGAGATTTAACTCCTGAACATGTTCTGGAGGAAGAAGTGTTGGCTGACCATCAGGACTAAGTAGAAAAAAAGATAGATAGATTTGAGTATGTAAGAAATTAATGTTCATTCTATGTAACTTTCTTACCTATTATTTTAATTAATTAATTATCTAAGAATGTTAATAGCTGGTACTGATTGATAGATACATGGATTTTTAATCATCTTTTTAAAATTCCTAAGCTTGGAAAATCAAAACTTGATTTCTGAAAAGTCGTTACCTTATGCTACCTAACACAAATTGAAAACTTAGATTTGTCTCTGAGACAAATCTAAAATGGAACAGTAATAAGGACAATAAAGCAAGTCTTAAAACTAACAAATCTAAATACTCTCCAGATTAAAAGGGAAAATCATCCCCAGAAAGAAATTTCTACCAGAATTTTTTAAAACTACATTTTACTTTCGCAACTGTCAAATATGGTCCTCATAAAACACTAGTATTCCTTAACAGAATGTAAGATTTTGTTCCATATTTGTAATATTTAAAGGTAAAAATGAAAAATACATAAATAAAAGAACAATGGGGGAAAAAATCTATGTAAATGACTATTTCTACCCATAATTTCTGTACACTTGTCAACTTCTATTTATTTTACCCCTTTGAAAACCTTCCACTCTGATCAAGCCTTCATATGGAGGAAATGAAAACTCCCCACACAGGGAGCTCTGGTGGTGCAGTCAATAGAGTCTCACTATTAACCCTCTGGCAGTCCAAATAATCTTTTGTGTTTTCTTGTTAAATATTTCTACTCTGATAAAAACCTTGTATCTCAAGAAAAGTATGATGAAAGTTTGTCAGCAGGATTCATTAATGGCAAGAAACTTTTAAAAACCTTCAGAAGTAGTTTCTGTTGTCAGCTGCTATAAACTCAGTCTGACTCACAGCATCCCACATGTAAGGGCAGAACTGTCCTGGAGGGTCTTCTGGGCTATACTCTTAACCATCCCTTGGGGGAGCAATGATTAAGAACTCAGTTTCTAAATGGCGGGTCAACCCTACCCAATCCAATAGAATGCTTTGGGGCAATTGTCTTGTATCACTCTCATTGGCTGGAAACAAGTTTAATAGAAGCATACTGCCCCGCCTTTTCTTCTTGGTACTGCTATGTGGGTTAGAACACTGACTTCTAGGTTAGTAGATAAGTGTTGACACCTTCTGGAGACCTATTTGAAGGATGCATATCTGTAAGAAGTAAAATGCAGCAATATTTACAGATTCATATGGATTTTGCACACATATGATGGCCAGAATTATTTTGGATAAAATGTCAATCAAATTTATTAAACTTTATTCCCAATCATTTGAATCCTTGACATTTGTAGGGATTCATATGTGCAAAATACTTGTACATTCATATTCCCATCAGCTCTTTACATCACTCTCTGAGATGCACAGAACATTTATTTACTGGCACTTTGGAGAAAGAAACTGAGGTTCAGAGAAGTTAGGATTTTCCTATGTTAACAGAGCTAGCGTTTAGGACTATATAGTACAGAGAACATTCTATCATATTTTACATTGTATTTTCTTAAACAAGATAACCATTTTAGGCTAGGACCTAATCTTAGAAAATTCATTTGTATTTTCTGATTTCTAGGTAAAAGAGAAGTTAAACTTATTTTTTACAATATTAACATCTGACATTTAATTATTTAAATTAAAACTCTAAATATTATATTACTCAGAGTAAAGGTTTTTAAAAATTAGGAATAAATTAAGAAATGCAATTTATTTTAAAAACATTAAATTGGAATTGAGCTGTCATATTCCTGAAAATATTAAATGTTCAGTCAAATAATTACTTAACTAGATTACTGTACCTGCAGAAGTTGGTGGGAATCACAATAGCATATCCAACAGATGTTCCCCCTAAACAGTTACCCAATTCATGGAAGAGTCCATGAGCCATGGATTCCAACGGCAGGACAATGAGAAACATGCTCAAGAAGATCCCGTTGGTTGGCTACAAGAGATTTTATATGACATGTTTATTCAGTATGTTTGTGTGTGTGCACATGTGCTTATATATGTTCATATACATATATACACATACAGACCCCTATATATTTATATATATACTTGTATATTTATATACCTACATATTTATTTGCAATTTTTACCCCATATTAAAAAAGACAACAATCTAAAAATAATTATAGCTTGATGCACTGAAGCCATCAAATATACATAGATAAGCCCTTATTTATCTTTAAACTTCTTTGAAGGGAAGATATATATAGCACAATTTTTTCATTTTTCAAATAATATCCAATCTCAACTATTAAAAGAAATAAACACAATGACCTCTTTCCATAAGACAAAGAGCCAAGAAATCTTCCTTTGCTGAAATTCACATGCCCCAAATAATTCTGAAAATATAGTGTATCTATTTTAACAGAAAAAGCTCATTTCCTTTTGAAAAGAAAAGCCTAGAGTAAATTCTAAAAAAAGAAATCCTAAAGCAATTCTATTCCTACATTTAATTTCTAATAGTTTCCCCTCAATAAGTTTATGTCTAAATTCAAAACTATAAAAACAAAAAAATAGAGGCTATTTAGATATCCTAAGAGCAGAAAGGAAAACCCACAGGAAGTTGAAATACTAAGAGGAGAGGAAAAAAATGTAATGAATCTGTTTAAATGTAAAAACAACAGAAGGCTAGCAGGCAGGCAGGCAGTCACCCAGTCCGAATATCTTTGGGAGTTTAATCTTCCACATTCTTTGTTACAGTTTTCAATGATAGAATTAGAGAGTATGTATGCGTTTTGCCTGATTTAAACTTTAATATAAAAATAAAAGCTGAATTCCATAATGGCAAAATGAATCGAGTAGCTTGTTGTGGTACGTTCTATCAATTAAGTACAATATAATGCATACTTAGACACACTAGAAAATATAAGTAAAAGAAACGAAATCATTCCAAGTACTACCATTCAGACCCAGCTACCACTAACATATTTTAAATATATGTAAAAATTGTTGTTGTTGTTATGTGCGGTCGAGTCGCTTGCAAATCATTGCAACTCTGCTCTGTCCTGTGCCAATCGCATCGTCTCCAATTACCCCAGTCACTGAATCAATCCACCTCATAGAGGGCCTTCCCCTCCTGTGCTGTCCCTCCACCCTTCCAAGCATGATGTCCCTCTCCAAGGACTGATCCCTCCTTAAAACATGTCCAAAGTATGTTAGACGGAGCCTCAGAATCCTTGCCTCCAAGGAGCCACCCGGTTTAACCCTCTGAAGGATGAATCTGTTTGTTTTCCTAGCAGTCCATGGTACCCTCAATACTCTTCTCCAGCACCATAGCTCAAAGGCATCAATTCTCCTTCCATCCGCCTTAGTCACTGTCCAACTCTCTGATGCATAACAAGTGATAGCAAAGACCATGGCCTGTATCAGACCCACCTTAGTCTCCAGAGAGACATCATTGCTCTTTAATACTTTGGAGAGGTCCCTATCAACAGACTTTCCCATGGCAATACGTCTTTTAATTTCCTGGCTACTGGTACAAGAGTGTTGACTGTGGGGCCAAGCAAACTAAAGCTATGAACAATCTCAATCTCTTCACCATCCATCCTGATGCTGCCAATTGGTCCAGTGGTGAGAATCTTTGTCTTCTTGACATTGAGCCTCAATCCATATTGGAGGTTGCAAGTCCTTGACCCTCTACAGCAAGTGCTTCAGGTCCTCCTCAGTTTCAGGAAGCAGCACAAAAAAACTTTGGTAAAGCCATTTTACTGTCACATGAGGTTGTTGTTGAAAATCTATTCAATGTTACCTAACAACAATTAATTTTAAAAGGAGCAAGAAAATTTTCAGTAAGTCCTCTCATAAATACTGTTACCAAGTAAACGAATTACAAACTACAATAAGTTGAGCTGTCAGAGACATGCATGTGTTAGGTGGCTATGGAAGTGAAGTGGTAAGACGGACTGCCACCTGAATAGGTGCATTTTAAAACTGTCTAGCCTTATAAAAGTATTCAATAATCTTACAAGCATGTTAAGAATTTAATTTCATTTTGTTGGAAAGAAAGATTTTTTTTTCTCCTTTTGTTGAGTACAGTGTACTTTATTGATGGTACATGACAAGATGGGCTCTCCAAGCCCCTTCCCTTTCACAGGGGACCTGGATGGAAACTGTCAAGGATGTGAGATTTTTAGTATGTGGGAGGATTGAGTTCAGGCAAGGACTCCCCAGCAGCTGAGGGTCTCTCTCTCTTCCAATGCTATTGCTGGAGCTGGTGGTCCCAAGGGGCTCTTATTCTTTGGAGGCCATGTGAACCATCAGGTTGACCACCCAGTTGCTGTAGCCAAATTCATTGTCATACGAGGAAATTAGTTTGACAAAGTGGTCACTCAGGGCAATGCCAGGCCCAGCATCAAAAGCAGGTGTCACTGTTAAAGTCACAGGAGACAACCTGGTCTTCAGTGTATCCCAGGATGCCCTTAAGGGGCCCTTCTGATGTCTGCTTTACTACTTTTTTGATGTCATCATATTTGGCAGCTTTCTCCAGATGGCAGGTCAGGTCCACAACTGGCATATTGGGAGTGGGGACATGGAAAGCCATGCCAGTAAATTTCCCATTCAGTTCAGAGATGACCTTGCCACGGCCTTGGCAGCACCAGTAGATTCAGGGATGATGTTCTGGGCAGCTCCATGGTCATCATGCCACAGCTTTCCAGAGGGGCCATCCACAGTCTTCTGGGTGGCAGTGATGGCATGGACTGTGGTCATGAGTCCCTCTACGATGCTGAAGTTGTCATGTATGACCTTGGCCAGGGGAGCCAAGCAGTTAGTGGTGCAGGAGGCACTGCTGGTAATCTTGAGAAAGTTGTCATACTTTTCATTGTTCAAAACCATCACAAACACGGAGGCATCGGCAGAAGGAGTAGAGATCATTACCCGTTTGGCACCACCCTTCAAGTGAGCCCCAGCCTTCTCCAAAGTTGTGAAGGCACCAGTGGACTCCACAACATACTCGGACCCAGCATCACCCCACTTGATTTTGACAGGATCTTGCTCCTGGAAGACAGTGATGGCTTTCCCAATGATGACCATCTTCCCATTCTCAGCCTTGGCAGTGCCATTGAACTTGCCATGGGTGGAATCACTGGAACATACAGACCATGTAATTGAGGTCAATGAAGGGGTCACTGATGGCAACAACATCCACTATGCTAGAGTTAAAAGCGACCCTGGTGACCAGGCGCCCAATGCAACCAAATCTGTTTACTCTGACCTTCACCATTGTGTCTCGGGGATGCAGCTAAGGCAGCACGAGAAGAGAGGAAAATCTGGGGATTGACAAGGAGCAGAGAGCTGGACAGAAGGATTTATAGACATTTTAAACAAAACCATTTCAAGAAAATAAATTCAAAATTATTACCAGTGAGTCAGAACCAATGCTCAGCTGGTATTCCTCCGAGTGTAAAGCTGTAAACGGCACAAGAGAAAATTGCCAGTCCTTTTTGTGTGGAGCTACAGATGGATTAAAAAACACCAGAAAATTTATCAGGGCAACTGCCTATAGACTACGCGACTGGAGTGTCCCTCAGGATTAGCATCAACTTTTAAAAGATTACATTAATCATTAATGTCAATATAGTTATTAAAGGCCAAAGTAAGAATTTCAAGTACTTCACTATCTATACTATCTATGATGATTTGAGAGTTATTAGGAAATTTCATCACATAGAGAAAATACAACTTTAAAAAAATTCATAAAGCAGTTTGGCTCTTAGAAAGTTGGAAATAAAAATCCTATTTGATCCAGCCATCTACCTACCAGGCAACATGTACACTCATGCTCAGCTTTACAGTAAGACGCAGATGGAAACAACTTCTAAGTGTCCATCAGTGGATGAATGGATAAACAATGGTCCATTTATACTGTGAACACACAACCCTGTAGCGTTGGAGTATTCTGCAATACTAAAGAATTCTCAAAACACTGTATAACATGGATGAATCTAGAGGACATTATTTTTACAAGAAAAAAACTCCATCACCAAAGGACAAATACTCTGCAAAGCCAGTATTGAAAAAACCTACAAAAAGGTTTACATTTACGTACAATCACAGAGATATAGAAAGATTAATGGAAATCAGAATTATAGGAAATACAACTATATTATGGGTATTGAAACTGATGTTACAGAACAAGGCACATGTATGAATGGTTGAAAGAATGAAAATATCTGCTTTGTAAACTTTCACTAAAATCACAAAAAAAAACCCCAAATAACTAGTATACTTTCTTACCTGAAAGAGGAGGAAATCCCAAATCTTGGTAATCATTAAAATTCTACTATGAAATATTAAAGTAAGCCCTGAAAAAATAATGCAAATTCAAAGAGAAGCATAGACTTGTTATTCTCCTTAGAACAAAAATTACAGAACTTAGTTTTGACAATGAAATGGTAAAAGATTAGAATATTGTGGCATCAAAAAATGTTCACTTTTAATCAAATCTCTGAATTTTTTTAAAACTTAAAATGATCTGCTAATTTGATATGTATCAATTTTTCCCCCTTTCTCATTTAATGTACAATTAGAAAAACAATGTTTTCATTTGTAAAAGCAGGTCAAAAAATATTTTTTTTTAAACTTGGTCTTGTTGAAATACACCAGTTAATATTCCATCAATTTCTGGGGCTTTATTTTTTGCCCAGTCCTTCAGAGCAGCCTGAACTTCCTTCTTCATCAACAATGCCTCTTTATCATAAGTTGTTTCTTGAAATTCTTCAATGTCAGCCAATTCTTTGTGGTACAGTGACTCTGTCTACTCCTTCCATCTTCTTTTAATGCTTCCTGAATCAATTCAATGTTCTGCCCAGAGCATCCTTAAACAACGCAGCAGCAGCTTGAATTTGTTCTTTAGTTTCTTCAGTTTAAGAAGTAATGAGCAAGTTCAGTCCTTTTGATTTCCCGACTCCAGCTCCTTTACATTTCATTATAATA